GCCATCTTAGGGGAGCGGCTAAGGCAGCTCCCAACAGCAATGGATGCAGTGGCGGTCCTGGTGCTGGGCCTCTCCTGTCTGCTTCTCCTTTCACTCTGGAGACAGAGCTGTGGGCGAGGGAAGCTCCCTCCTGGCCCCACTCCTCTTCCGATTATTGGAAACACCCTGCAGATAGATGTTAAGGACATGAGCAAGTCCTTCACCAGTGTAAGTATAGTTTATAAGCCTTTAATGGCTTGCAAAGGGTAAATAATTCTTACTTTTAAATATAATATATTATTAAACTGGGAATTACTAAACTTTGTTATTGCAAAAGAGATCTCCCTTGTAATTATTTTCATTGTGTCATTGTCAGAAAGAGCTCAGTGATATAATTAGTGTGTTTTTTTCAGGAGAGTAATATTTAAGTTGTAGAGTCAAAACAGTAAAGTGCTGCTACCCTTCTTTGTTTCAGTAACTTTTTGCCTAAAGTAAATGGTAGTAGAAATGTTTGAGTTAGAGGTTTATTTGAAAAATCGTGAACTTTACATGTGGTGTTTTTGTTTAGATTAGCCATGATAGTTAAACTCCTCTAAAGAAGCAAATTATGTCTGATAACCCAAGGAAATACCCATGCGTTTACCATAAACATATGTGAGTGAAAAAAAGAGTTACCAGGGCTAGTTGGTGGCATTAGAATTCATCTGCTGAGCACAAACTTCCTGTCATGATGTACAGTATACAGCATGAAGGAAACTGTTCTGTGGGATGGTACTGGTGCTGCCTGCTTTTTTTCTGAGGTAATGATACCAGCAGATCTCTAACTCAGGGAGATTTTTAAAAATGAGCTAATTTGAGCTCAAGTTTGGGTCTTCTATTTATTCGCTATGGAATACTAAAATGAGTTTGAAATTCATTGACCTTCACTCTCTTGACCTGTAAAACAGAGTAAATACTTCAAGTTGTTAATTAGTTGTGATAGCCTACATAGTAATTTCCCTGACCATTTCCTAGGAAATGGGAGTCATTCTTTATGTGGCAACTATAACAATCTCTCTCTTATTTACATTTGAAATCCAGGAAAATTTGGAGTTCTGTTTGACAGACTAAAAAATATCAGCAATATGATGATAGCATTGAAATGAATCATCATGATACATAGAACAGACGCTGACTTCTTTTGCTGTTATTTGCTGCTATTTGCTTTCCTATTTCCAGTTCTCAAGGGTCTACGGCCCCGTGTTCACCATGTATTTTGGCATGAAGCCATCTGTGGTGCTGCATGGATATGAAGCTGTGAGGGAAGCCTTGATTGACCTTGGGGAGGAGTTTGCTGGAAGAGGCAGTTTCTCAGTACCTGAAAAAGTTAATAAAGGCTTGGGTAAGTTTTTATCTGTGCCCGTGTGCATGTGCGTGCGTGTGTGTGCACATGTGTGTGTGTCTGTGAAGGGCAATGCTTACGGGGATGAGACTGGATGAGCTCTTCAGGCAAATCTCGGCCATCCACAGGTCAGTTTCTTCCTTCTTGTCTGGGATCTCCCTTTTAGTTTCTGTTTCCCATACTGCCAGGGATCCTTTTTAGCAACGGAAACAGGTGGAAGGAGATTTGACGCTTCTCCATCATGACCCTGCGGGAAGAGGAGCATCGAGGACCGGGTTCAGGAGGAAGCCCGCTGCCTTGTGGAGGAGCTGAGAAAAACCAGTGGTGGGTGATTCTTTGTTCTCTACCACTGACCAGTTAGACTCAGTCTTCTCTCCTGGCATCCCCAAAGCATTTGAAGGGCAGCCAGCTCTTTCATTAAGGGTAATGGTTATCAGTCCTCACGCGCGGGAGGGATGGCGTGAGGCAGAGAGCAAGGGAACATCTGTGAACCCCTGCTATGTTTGTACTTAATAACTTGTGCATTCAGTGAGGGTGTAAGAGGTCATTTCATCCTGTTTGGTGGCCCACTTCGCTGTTTCAAATCATTATGTCATGAAATAGAAGATCTGAATCTCATTTTTAAAACAGTTACAGAGTAATGTTTTTCCTGTAGTGTAATTTTGGGCTAACTATTCTGAGCATTTCAAGGAAGACCACTTGTCAGGTGGACAGATCGTAGTGACGTTTTGTGGAGCATGAGACAACTGACATGTGCTTTCCCTTAATCAGTCTGTATTTGTGTGAGTCAGCTTCACTGACTGACACATTTACAGGATTCTTTCAAAGCCTGTGCCGAAAATTTTTACCAGTAATGATATATGTCTATGGTTTTTAGTACTGTGTAGGCCTCTTTGATGTTTCCTCATCAATTATGCATCCCTTTTTAAGTAGTAACTGTTCAGAAACTGTCAGCTGGAGTTATTTAATGTTACTATTTTATGGCATTTTTATATGTATTAGGATAATTTAAACTGCATCATAATTTTCCAAACTATAAAGTTATACCAAGTTATAACATGATTTATTGAGCTAAATTCCAACTATTATTAACTCTTTACTCCATCATTTCTAATTGTAAGCTGACTTTGTTTTTAGTTTTCCATATATTATCCTGTCTTTATTTGTGTATTAATCATGTTTTATATTTTCTATATTTTATGATGCTTTGACATCTTGAACTGGCCATTTAAGGACTTAATTCCTAGAGAGCAAGTACCTTTCCTTCTGTATGACTTTGATCAACCTTTCCCAAGTACATGACCCTAACCAACTTCTTTTTCAGATTCTCACATACCAAACCAGTATTCTTGTTCTAAGTCACTCCAGGGCTAGTTATAGGATCCCCTCCTCTCCATGGCCCAGAGCCCCCGAATAATTTAAACTATTCAATCTTAAGCTTACTCTTTATACCTACCCTGTCTAATTCGTTCCTTTGCATGAAAACCCAATAAAGGCCCTGCCCCTGCTTCCATTTGCTCCTTCCACTTCCTGACCAACAGCCACACTTCCTTGTGTGCTGCCCACCTCACTGTAGTGTAAAGACCCCTTGTCTTGGGAATTGAGAGTAACAATCTGCTTTTCCAAAAGCTGTCCATTCAAGGGGAGCCTGATTTGTTGATCCCACCATATTTGAATCTTCCATTCTTACTTCTGGTAATCTGAGCAAGGTTGCTCAAACCATTAAAGAGAATAAGAAAATAATTCTTCAATAAAACATTAGAGATAATACATAGTATTACTAGAAAAGATGGTAGGAGTTCACCATTGAAATTCCAGTGTATACTGTTACCTTCAAATCAGTTGCTCAGACTACCAGACACAAGCATGCAAAATCGGTCAGAACATAAAAAATTGTGAGCATTAACTGTTCATTTCAAAACACCATCAGACATCAGCAATACAGTTAGCTATTCATATATATTTATATTTTGTTTTCCTTCTTTCTTTTTTCTTCTTTCCCTCATCCCAGTCATTCCTTCCTTTGAGCAATTTCTTTCCCTTTTCTATCATCTATTGT